CTATCACACACAAAATGGCTGCGACGAATCATAAAACGATTGCAAAACTGCTGAGTCTGCTGAACGCAGCCAATAGGTGCATCCAGAAGCACGACCGCTCATTGAGCGCTCATTGAGTTCTTGTATCTGTTTGGTCTATATTTTTCGATCTAATGGAATATGCCAATCAGATGCCAGAGCTCACCGAGCGCTCAATGAGCGGTCGTGCTTCTGGATGCACCCAATGATTCGCAGAACTGCAACATAAAGTCGCTAGATCAATGAGCATCTTAAGCCCAAGGCACAATGCGAGGAAACAGCGATATGCTGGATTCACACTGCATCCGATGTGCGCCGTACGACGCTCTGCAACCAATCAGAAAACAGGATTCCGATGATATGAAGCAAAATCCATCGGAATCCTGTTTTCTGATTAGTTGCAGAGCGTCGTACGACGCACATCGGATGCAGTGTGAATCCAGCAATAGCGATAAAAATAACAGTTTCAATCTATCAGAAATTGTGTATTCCGGTTTATCTGATTTTTGATAGACAGAAATCGTGTTATTCTTATCGCTATCGCTATTCCCTCGAAGTGTCTTGGTCTTAAGATGCTCATTGGTCTAGCGCCCTTAGGATGCAGCCACAATAAAAGAAGTAAAGAATTAAGATTAAAAAATGGGAAATTTCAGATCAACCTATCAGAAACTATGTATTCCGATGTATCCGATTTCTGATAGATTAAAATCGTTTAATCTTTATTCCTAATTCCTTATTCTTTCTAGTGTGCATAGGGCCTAAGAGAAGCGCAATTGGTGTTAAGTGTTCTGATTGGTTATTGCAATAACAAGATCTAGCAGCCAATTATGACCTAGTTTAAGGCTGCGATTTACTTGACGCTACAAACGCTTCGAAGCGTTTGAGCGACCAATCAGAACAAAGAATTGTACGAATTGACTAATCAAAAAACGCTTCGAAGCGTTTGTAGCGTCAAGTGAACCGCAGCCTAAACCGAACACTTGATACGCATATTAAGTAATATATCTGTACCAAATCATTGGATACGCTTGGTATAAATGCTAGGGTATTACTTTAGTCTTGTACTCCCGAATTGCGAGTATCAGACCAAGCTAGTACGCGTATTAAATGATATAAAAAATGCTGGCACGCTGTAAACGTTTAATTCGTTTTGAATCATATATTAAACTGGCCACTGTTTTTAAATGCAGTTAAAGTTAGAATTAAAGGTTTTAAATCTTGAGAGAGAGAGAGAGAGAAAAGCAGTGAAAACGTCATGTCATCTAACCTGTTCTGAGACAGATCGATGTAAATAAGGACGTATTAAATGCCTGGTCCGCACCAACTTGATACGCGTACCAAGCAATTTAACGGTGTAAAAGGGGTCTATGAGACTGATTTCTTGATATTACAAATGGCTGCTTAATAGGTGCTTTCCATTTGATAACACACAAGTCGACAGAAATCGACACAAATGTCGTTCTATCTTTGTTACTCTCTGAATTTCAAGGATAGAACGAAGCTTGTGTCGACTTGTGTCATCAAATGGAAAGCACCCTCTGCTAAGTGCAGCCAATGATCAAAAATGCAATGTGCCGTTACGTATGTATTATGCATTATGCAAAGGTAGTGAGCTTCCGGCTGAAGGCCATCACAAAATATGACGTAACCTGCATAACAATTACTACGTTTACACGGCACGCTTTACGCCGAAGTTATAATATAGATGTTATAAAACTGGCCAATCACACAGCTGTTCCTCTGAAGAATGGAATGACTGTGATTGGTCAGTTTCATAACATCGATGTTATAACTTCGGCGTAAAGCATGCCTTGTAAACATAGTTTATAACATAAAGCCGTTGGATTAAGGGTATATCCACACAAACTTGCATAGTCGTATAAACATATGCTTAAAGGAAATTATTTAATCACATTTTACGTTCTCTTTTATAAGAGAAATGCGCAGCAGTAAGGGTGATGTCCCCATGCAGCGTATCGTGCGTAAGCGGATTCGCGTATCGCCAATCACAGAATTATTCTCTTAAATATGCTTGCGAAATTTGCAAACAGATCTAAGAGAATGATTCTGTGATTGGCGATACGCAAATCCGCTTACGCACGATACGCTGCATGGGACATCAGCCTAAGGGTGCCGTCACATGCGGCGTAACCAGCGTAAGCGTAACTTGCGCTGACCAATCATATCATTTCACTTGAAAATCATTTTCTGTCTAGTCACTTTATGCTTTTTACGCTATTTTGTTGTTACGCCGAACCACCATGTGTCGAATCGGGGTGATCTCGATTGACCACGGCTCGATTAGGACTACGGTCCTCTTGACGCTACAAATGCTTTGAAGTATTTTTTGATTGGTCAATTAGTAAAATTCTTTCTTTCGACTGGTTAATCAAAAGCTTCGAAGCATTTGTAGCGCCAAGTGAACCGCACCCTAGACACCACCAATCACAGCGACCAGTGCTTAGGAGCTTTGTAGTCTCAAGCGCTGTGAGTGGCTCGTGTCCAATTGAGCCGTGTCCAACTGGGTGCCACCCGTCGAATCTAACTTCTAGCATGTTTTAGCTTATTCTATCTGAAAAAGTACACATGGGTTTCGGTTATGCAACAGTACGATTATAAAAGTCATGCGCCTCTTTGAATCACGTGGAAAGTCGAAACCAGTCGAAACTCATGTAGGACAATACAGTTATAGACCTCATTGCCTCTGTGACAGATTTCCTAACCTCAATAGTTATCAACTTTAACGCTTAATATATGAAATCACAAGACAGAACAACGCTTTTTTTGCCAGATTCTTTCATTTCATGCAAAAATGCGTCAGATAAGCCTAAAAGTGGTTTCACAAAACTTTCCGATTTTAATAATTTATTCGATCATCCGCTCATATGTACGCGATGGAAAGATGCCGGTTCCCCATGAGGCGTATTTTTCGAGATGCGTAGGTTACAAATACCAATCGTAAATTCATTTAGTATTTCTGTTAGAGTGTACAACAGAAATTCTAATCAGCAATTGGTTGCATTAGCATTTCCGCATTTCTCTAAATTCCGCGAAATACGCTCTATGTGAATGCCAGTCTTCAGAATGGCGTAACGTGTATTCTATCTAGTAAATTACTAGAACACGCAGGTTATACGCTTACGCAGGTTACGCTGCGTGTGACGGCACCCTAATAGCGATTTAGGCTCTAAGAGTAAAAAATTGACCATTTACAGTCTTTTATTCCTCTTATATTGGACTGTGATAGATCAATTTCTTACCCTTAGGGTGAAATGGGGGGATCTCAATTGACCACGGCTCGATTGGACACCACCAATCACAGCGGCCAGGTGCCTAAGAGCTTTGGGTACTTTCCAATTAATGACACAAGTCGATACAAGTCAACATAAGTGTCGTTCTATCTTTGTCACTCTCTGAATGTCCTAATAGAACAACGCTTGTGCCGACTTGTGTCAACTTGTGTCATCAAATGGGAAGCACCCTTTGTAGTCTCAAGCGCTGTGAGTGGCTCGTGTCCAATTGAGCCGTGTCCAACTAGGTGCCACCCAGGTGAAATCACACGGTGCAGAAAACGACTGCGGAATAGAGAAGGTGTAATAGAAGCAATCAATCAGCGTTATTCTGAATTTCCTTATTCCGAATAGCGCTGATTGGTTGCTTCTATGACGCATTCTCTATTCCGCAGTCGTTTTCCGCATCGTCTAATTTCATCCTTATGACCTAATCCGCTACTGCTATTGGGAGGGCTGCGATTGCACACATCGCATATTACACACTTATATCGCTAATTGGCCAATTTAAAAATAAAATAATGTTATTGGTAAAACAGTGAAAAATTACTAGGCACCTGTTGATATGAGTGGTGTGTACAATCAGAACTGTAAGCAAACGGGATCCTCCCCTGCTATTACCAATGTAAACATCTCGCGTGCATTCGTTTATGCAGCGGTTAGCGCAGAAGTATTACTTTATCCTTGTTGTTCACCAAGTGTTGAATAAAGATTAAATGATACTCACTGCGCTAACCGCTGCATAAACGAATGCACACCTATTATAGATCCGGACTTACGCTATTCCGCTGCATAGGTATGCACTCTAAAGCCTATTCTACATTGGTCGTATCGTAGTCGTCACAAGTCGCAAACTTCTTGCTTCAGCCAATCCGAGGTGTCCATTTAAAGTCGCACGATGCTTATGACACTTGCGACGCCTACAATACGATTAATATTGAACCAGCTTAAGTCCGGATCTACAATAGGTATTTTAAGCATTAAGCCGTAAGAAATTGACCAATGACAGACAAATTCGGGGAGAATAATCGATTATGATTCGTCCATTTCTTATGGCTTAAGTCTTAGGATGCCGTCCCATGTACACGGAATCGGAACGACGGAACGGATTTCTTACTAGAAAATTTGAGATCACTACAATTCCGTTCCGTAAGAAGTTTCTCTACCCGTCCCATGTAGCCGGAACGGAATGAAAATGGACGGAATGTCGCCTCGGTCGCAAGTTAATTTGCCTAATTTAATCGATATTTCGTTATTTTAATGCGACTAAAGCAGTAATATGCATAATTTGTGCAATTATCTTACTTATAACATTACTTTGAATACTTAAAAATACTGAATTGTAAGAGTGAGATATATTATGTTACCAAAATTCCATTGCGTTCCGGCTACATGGGACGGGTAGAGAAACTTCTTACGGAACGGAATGGTATGTTCACCTCAGATGGTTGAATGTGAAATTAAAACAAATATTCAGAAACCTTTTTTTTGGAGATTACAACGATGGACGAAGAAGTAGTATTAACTGTGATGTTAAAATTATTGCGAAATGCAAGAAATATGCCAAGTTGGCGTGCTATTCTGATATTTAAGAGAGTACGAAAATTATATTTCGCTTATAATATTTTATTACAAAATAAAAAATATACAAAAAAACGAAAATTTTGGGTACGGCCAATGTTTACACAAAGAATGAGACATCTTCAAGGCGCAAGTGACAATTTAGTCGTTGAAATGCAAACGACCGATCGTGAGAAGTTCTTCAATTACTTTAGAATGACTCCGGAATTATTTGAAGAACTGCTGTCATTAGTTGGACCACTTATTGAGAAGCAAGAATTATGCCGAGTTCCAATTTTATCTCGTACAAGATTGCAACTGGCTTTACGCTGGTTGGCATCTGGTGATAGTATGGCATCTCTTTCATATGCATTTCGTATTGGAGCAAATACAGCTTCTAAAATCATAAAGGAGACTTGCACTGCATTGTGGGAAGTATTAAAAGATAGAGTTTTTCTACAACCCACTGATGAAAATTGGCAAAAAGTTGCTGACGATTTTGAGAGAATTTGTCAATTTCCCAACTGCATTGGAGCTGTCGATGGAAAGCACATTATGATTCAGGCATGTATCTGATAGAACTATTTTTTGAACATATTTTGAACTATTTTAAAATAAATCTGTTATTGTATTATTGTTAATTGTAGGCACCACCGAATAGTGGCTCGTCTTTCTACAATTATAAAGGCAATCATAGTATAAATCGGCTTGCCGTGAGTGATACAAATTGTTGCTTTAGCATTGTAGACATCGGAGCAGAAGGAAGACGTAGCGATGCTGGTGTTTGCTAGCAGTAACCTTGCTCATCTATTGGACACAAGTTCACTTCAAATGCCTTATGCCTTCGGCTAGACATTTGGATAATAGCGGGATCAAATTTCCATATGTTCCAGTAGGAGATGAAGCATTTCCACTGTCATCCTACATGATGAGACCGTATTCTCGAAGTGGAAACTTAAGTATAACGCAGAAAATCTTTAATTATCGATTAAGTCGGGCAAGGAGAAGTGTAGAATGTGCATTTGGGATTCTTGCGGCAAGATGGCGAATTTTTCGCCGGCCAATTATCGCTAATATTTTAACAGTTAAAATTGCCGTACAAGCTGCAACGGCTGTACATAATTTTATCATGAAACACGAACTTCAGTTGCAACCGAATGAAAGACAGTACTCTGTTTTAACTGCCAACGACCGAAATATAATCTCTACTGGATATCAAGATGAGTGTAATCAGAATAGACGTAGAAATGTTGACGGTATAAAAATCAGAGACGCATTTGCTACATATTTCGAAACATCAAATCCATTATCTTGGAAACAAGCTTTAAACAACGAGTATTAAAATTATATTAGATATTGACTCTTTAAAAAATTATGTTAAATCGACTCGCATTAATTGCCTCTTTTACGTGAAATACATTTAAAATAGAAATAAATACAAAAATAAATAACTTTATATTAATAATTTGTAATTAATAACTTGTACATAAATAAATTTTTATAAATCAAAATATATTTCTTTCATTATCTAATACACTTATATTATAAGAAAATGCGATATTGGGATATATATATAAAAAGACAACATAAAGATAATATTAAAAAAAGTTAATTTCATGTAAGTTCTTTTGCCTCTTCATCTTCTGCTTTATAAAGTATCTGCAGTATGTCTAATTGTATCTGTCTTCTTCGAAGGTAACTTAATTTTCGCAGGATAAAACCAATTTGTTCTAAAAAACAGTCTACTGCATCTTTCTTTAAATTGTATCTGTCTTCTTCGAAGGTAACTTAATTTTCGCAGGATAAAACCAATTTGTTCTAAAAAACAGTCTACTGCATCTTCTTTGGCTCATTTTGTTCAAGTAATTGTTCCAATATACAGGGTGGACCATCTGAAGTGATCCAGTCAAATATCTCGAAAACTAGTAGGGATAGAGAAAAATGTTTCGTATGAAAAGTTTAGGGTTACACGGGGGAAGAAGGTCATTTTGAAGGTCATTCAGGGGTCACGATGGTTTTTTTAAATGGAATCCCTAGTTTTTCACCATGGGATGAGAAAGCTGGTTTCAAGCCCTTT